ATCCAGTAAACAAACTTAGCTATTTTTTTCTCGCCAAGTTTGGTCCCCATAAAGGACTAGTGTTGCAAGCAACGTTTTTTCGGCAATTAGGGTGTTGTGCAGCTATTTAATGTGGTGAAAATTATTTAAGCACTGGGGAGATTTATTCACATGGAATTGGAGATTGGGCTAATAGATTTATTTTAAATAAATTGTGAATCTGCAAAAATATCTTTTCAGCAGATGAATATACTTTTTAACCTTTTTCCCGAAAATTTACATACAGGCTCGAAAATATGCGAGTAACATTAGGTTTGTATAGTAACAGTAACATTGCAGCGAGAGCGTAAAAGCAAAATAGAGCGTTAAAATGTGAAGAAGAGAAAACTAGCAGAAGAACTTATTGAACACAAAACTAGCAAAAACTTGCAAGTGAACAGTTGTTGCACTGCTTTGACAATCTGCTGTAAACATTTTACTATTTATAAATCAGTTTTAAACTCTTTGCTTTACACACAAGCACTTACACTGTCCAGTACATCATTAATATTATGATTTCCACTCATTTTACTTTTGTTTGTGCCAAGGCGAATCAATATAAGGTGATAGCAGGAGTACAAAAACAAAAATTTACATGTATTTTGTTTTTGCTTTGGCGGCATAAACTGTCAAAACCTGTAAGTGTGTGTAGAAATTCAAACAAAATTTTTCAATTTGATATCAGAAGCCGTGCGGCGAAACACATACACAAAATCAACTGAGCTAGTAACACCACCTTTTATATATTCTTTTGACATTTATTCTTCTTCTTCTTCTGCTAGCTAATTTCTGCTAGTAATAATTTCACTAGCAAGAATTTGCAGCTCTCGTGTTGTTACGCTCTCGATTCAGTGCTCTCTTGCAAATATTTTGGGTTATCATACACTTTTCTAGTAAAAATTTGCAGGTTCCAGTACAAATTAGTACTGACTATTGGTAACTATACAAACCTATTCAAATATCGTCGCTTGGATGGAAAATTGCCGGAAGTGTCAAATTGACAATTTGTGGTTTTTGGATATCTTCTTTAGTTTCCGAGTAATTGACCAAAATGTTTTCGGATATTGGGTACAAATTGCGTTAGTATTGCTGTCGTACTAAACTAATCAAGATCTTTCAAATAGAGTTATCTGTTCTTCTTCAGTTTCGGACATATTCAGCGTTATCATGAGTTTCATTTTCTAGAACCGGGTCACTTTTTCACTTTTCGTTTGCGTGTATTCACTACGGGTGGATGAAAAAATTGTTGGCGAAATTTTGTTCGGCGAAACTCACGATTAGGCTGATTAGTAAAAAGTATGTTAATTTATAAAAATTGTTATCACATTTTGGCGTATATCATTAAAAATGACTGCAAATTTTTTGACAAATGTCGTATACGATAAAATTTTATTAAACTCATAAATGGTTGACACTAAACTAAAAAAAAATAAGATAATTTAAGAATTTCATGAGCTAGTACATAGCATTCTCCGACCTTTGGAGAAAATCTGTAGTCGTGTTTCTGAGAAATTGCATTCCAAACTTCAATCGTGAGTTACCGAAAGTAACTTGTGACAATCCTTTATCCAGGGATCTACATAAATTATAATTGTCATTATTTTTGCAGTTGGAGTATATGCCAGACGAGTAACAGGTATATACATGCAAGTATACCTAAGTTAGCCGTTGAGCTTGTATATTTATCTCTCTCTAACGCATTAATTCTATATACGTCAGTACCAACGCCTCACTAAATTATGTCTAAATTTAATAATGGCTCTATGACAAAATATTCATGGAATTTATTCGTAGATTTTTATTTACTTCATTTCATACATTAGTATTGATCTGAATGTTTTTTACTAAATACCAGGAATAAATATTTAATAAACAACTATTTCATTTAAGCTTAACCAACTTTCAGTTGCTCGGAGCTAGTTTTGGAACGCTCATGAAATATTTTCATGGACGGTAAATGCAACCCTGGGTGCATCATTAATGAGCTGAAAAACCAAAACAAATAATTAAATAAGTGCGTGCGTCTAAAAGTTTCGGAACAAATTGTGGATTAAAGCCTTTCGAAAGTGATAAATAACGTAAAAAGTGATTATATTAATATTGTTAATAAATCGAAGTTACTAATAATGTATACCCTTTCAGGGAAGATGCCGAAAAGGTGTGTATCCAGATGTCCAGAACAAGGATCCTTGTATAAGTTTCCATCGGAGGGAGAAATGCCAAGGTATGTTTTTTATTGAGTATAAATTTGATAAAATTGTATGAATAATACTGGACAAAGAAGAGCAAACGGCTGGATTCGGTGTTATTAGTATAGACGGGATTTGAATGTCGCCTTAATTGAGTATGTGTGCCTCAGGTTTGCCCACGTGGTTGACATTGTTTTGATTCCAACTATGAGGATCAAATTAAGTCTTCACTCATAAATAGTTGTCTTTAATGAGTTGCTCTAGGTTACGCCAGGCTGAGATATTTCATAAGATTGTCTTTCATAGAGGTTTTTCTTGCTCTACTTTATGTTTCATGAGCCTGCGCTAAATGTAACTAGAGCCACTTAGAGTACGATTTTCAGCATCAGCTTTTTTGATGGATTAACTTCGAGCAAGCACAAACACACACCTTACAAAGCGTTCCCACGACAGTCGGGTCTACGTAACCGGAACGACCGAGCTTTATATCTGGCCAAGGACTGTCACTCCAGCAACACTCCCCAAAAACCCTTTGGGGAACTTGTATGCTGCTACAACAACAACACACCTTACAAATGACAAATTGAACTGTCGACCAATCAACTGTTTTGAGAATTTCTGAATGAAAAGTGTTTCATGAGATGTTTCTATTTCTATTCAGCTGTAGCTTGAGCTGCTCTGCACTTTTTTCGATCCCATTAAACAACTAATGTAGATAGAAGATCATAGTTTTGTTTGAGTGTTCTTTATATTTAACATCAACAAATTCTGTAACGAAATTTGTGTAAAATTCATGGTTAGGCGGGCATGCGTGTCTAAATGACCACCAGTCTTAAAAAGCTGAAAGTGCATTTTTGAGGAATATTTGTATTGGAATAGATATGTAGATATTAAAATGAGGTGGACACCACGACCTAGTGATTTATTGTGCCCTTGAATCTTCACAATACTTCCTCTAAACCTAAATCCCTCAGAAAAAGCTGCAGCGCCTTAAGAGGTAGGGAGTGAATGAATGGGCTTAGTTTGTGGCCATATCGAACCTGGGCTTATCAAACAGGATGAAAATATGTAGTGGTGTCTCATAGGGCGATTCGGGAGGAATGTGGGATGTTTTTCTATGTGCACTCCCTTGTTGTCTTTTTGGGAGGTATAGGGGAGGATTTTATGGGAGTACTCCCGTATTGCTCCCTTAGGAGGTTTGTGGGATGATATTTCTGTGTGTCTCAGTATATCCAGTAAAAAAACTGTGGTGAAGTCCTTTATGGGGATAAAGTTTCCAGAGGTGAAATTTTAGGTAGTACACAATTTCTTACACGCATGGTTGCTTTTCAGCACTCCTGAAAGAATCTTAAGAAATGTTTGAAAAAAATGTTCATATAGTACATAAATTTTTGAAATAAATACCATATAATGTATGTACACTGGTTAATAATATCAAAAAGTGTATTAGAACCACCATTTAATGTTATATTTGATACAAATTAATATTGCTGCCCCGAACGCTCAGCGCATTGCCACTGAAAAATAGATGTACTTAAAATTACATCCCTGGTCCTTGTTCTTTCTGTATCGCATCGTGGTGAATTCACATTTCTTAGAAATTTGACAACAAAACAAAACAGAGGGAGTATTTTATTTACTAATTTTTGCGATTTCTATTGTTTAATGTAAATGTATGTCTTTTTAGGATATGTTTAGCCAACAAAGAAGGCGCTTTTGGAAAATGGAGTTATTAGTAATGAAGTAGCGGGCATATTTGGAAAATTATGCCTATGAGCAGGCTGGAATTTGGGAAAGTAAGTGCCTGCTTGCAGCATATCTATGTATTAAAAAGTATTTAATTAAGTTGTTTAATAGAAATGTTATAAATCGAGTGGCTC